CCGTGGGAAAACCAGAATCATGGGCCTCCGACTTTATTACCACTATTATCATTCCCATTATGCTTGTTATCACTTCATGCCTATTATTAATACTATTACAGGGGGGAGCCCGTATTACTTGCCCCAACACTACTTGGCCATAAGGACCTTGCCCCAACAAGTGCATAGCACGACTAGCGAAAAACTCGAATGCCAACCCTTAACCTAAAACCCCACAACCCTAACCCGCAAAGCTACAAAGCCTTGGCCTTCTTGAAGCACCAAACCTGAAAACCAAAACGGCCCAAACTCTACAGTCAAAGCTGGAGAGTTGGTGTACCCCAAGACCCCCAAAGACGGAAAGTGTCATACCTCAATACCTTCAAGGCCAAGCCCCTAAGAATTCCTGAACCTCGAACCTCTGAATTCCTAGACCTTCTGCGCTAAATTGGGCGATGGTCCACTTGGGCCCGCACGCGGTCATGGCCGCCGTTGCTGGCAGTTTGCACGTCAACTGCGGCAGTCTCCTGGAGTCGCTGACTTTTCAACACAAAGGTACTCTCGCTGCTATCTCACCCGTCCCCCAGCCGTCACAATTCGTCATATCAGGCCTTTTTTTCCAACCACCATACGTGTTATTGCGCAATATGCATGATTGGAACGGAGGGTCCTTCCTGGCAAGGCACTACTAAGCCCCGCCCGGATACAATCCGTAACATCATTCTTGCATTCTAAAGATACCAGAAGCACAACATGTATGACTGAGACAGACAGAAAGATGCGAGCTCTCATTGATCATCACAAGTCATTGCAAGCCTGTCACATTTATCACAAAGCGTGCTGCCCCCAAGCAGTTGAGAGGATTTGCGGCATCTGCCGAACTTTGTTTTATCTGGAGAACATACCAAACCATGGTGATCTCAAGAGACCCCACCTTGACTTGCAAAATACCCATAACAATAGCTCGCCGTTATGTACCCTTTATTAGAAGGATATTTTTTGGGGGGAGGTCTAGGCAAAAGCTAAAAACCCTGAACCCAAAACCATCCTCTAAGGGTCCAAGGATCCAAATAATGGGGCTTTAGGACCTCAATACCATAATGTTAATGGTATTTGGGTCCTAAAACCCTATTATTTGGGTCCTTGGACCCTTACAAATCCTCATGAACCTCAGCTCCCGGCTACTGATGGCTCCGCTTGAGGCGTATGGCCGTTTGTGATCTCTGACCTCGGGATTATTGTGATTTTTGATCCCTAAGGGTCCAAGAACCCAAATAATGGGGCTTTTAAGGCCCAAATACCATTAATATTATAGTATTTGGGCCCTAATACCCCATTATTTGAGTCCTTGGACCCTTAGGGGATGCTTTGGTGCTTGAACCAAATAAGAGTATTCTTTTCCAATAAATGCTTTGCCCAATTGTCTTGCGCTCTACTGCAGGACTGCGCAGCTTGTTGCTTCTCAATTCTGGAGGGGAGCCTATACAAGGGGATATTCCGGCGAATGCACTGAGAAACATCCTCTTCTTCCCTGGTTACAATCCTAGACCCCATACCCAAAGGGCCCATGTAGCTATATGGTATATACTTGGGCCTTAATGTAGGTATATGGGAACCCCATTGGGCCTTAAGTATATACCATATACCTACATGAACCCTTTGGGATAGGCCATGGAACTCGAGACAAGAGGGGCGAGTCATCTCAAGGCTCCAGCGAACCCTAAAACCTGACTGAACATTCAACCTAAATCTCTACGGTTAGAAGTATGGGCCCCTAGTATGGGCCCCTAGGCCTTTTTAGGGACCGTTAAGGGTCCACAAAGGGTATATAATAGGTATAAAAGGATCCCAGGGTTAGCGGCCCATACTAGGGGCCCATGTTTCAACCTTAG